CCGAGAACAACCGGAAGTTTGATTTAGTAAAATTGGGGGGTAAGGGGGGGGGGGGAGAGGAGGCGCAGCGATTCGAATTTACGCATGATTTCCGTTCAATTTCAACCCGTTCAAAAAACGCCAACCGTTCCGAACGCGCCCCCACTGCGCACGCAACCCGTTCGCCGCCCGCCCCCTTCCCGCTGTCCCTCCCCCCACCCCCCCACCCCGCCCGCGCCCCGCCGGAAGCCCGCGCCATGTCGTCGCCCGTCTACATCTCCGCGTCCAAGCGGCTGCTGACGTTCCCGCTGCCGCCGCCGACGCCGCCGGACGCGCTCTCGCTGACGAGCCACCACGCCACGCAGGTCGCCTTCAAGGTGAAGACGACCAACCAGTCGCGCTACATCGTGCGCCCGAACGTCGGCTTCATCGCGCCGGGCGCCACGCTCCCGATCCACATCGGCCTGCACGCCCACCTCGGCGACAACCTCACGCCGCCCGAGCTCGGCGTCTCCAAGGACAAGTTCCTCGTATGCGTCGCCCCCGCCACCGAAACGCGCCCCGACTTCTGGGCCGCCCCCCACCCCGACCAGCAGGACATCAAGCTCAAGGTCCAGTTCGTCGACACCAACCTCTTCCACTCGGACCCGTCCTCGCCGCCCGCCGCGTCCCCGGCCCCGTCCCCCGTCCACACCTACACCCCGGCTGACCTCGCCCCCTACGCCGCCGACAGCCCCGCCGCCGCCGCCGCAGAGCCCACCCCCGCCGCTGCCGCTCCGACCACGCTCCCGCCGCCGCCCGCGGACCCCGTGCCCGCCGCCGCCATCGCCGCGCCCGCCGCCACCCGCGCCATCCCGACCGACGCCTCTGCTGCAGCCGCGCCCGCCTCCCCCTCGCCACCGCCCGTCGCGCCGCCCGCGCCGCCCGCGCCGCCCGCCGAGCGGGCGCCGCCCTCGCCGCCGTCGCACGCCGCGCCGCCGCCAGCGGCCCCCTTGCCCGCGACGCCGCTCGCGCCCGCGGACGCCGTGCACGTGCGCGACGCCGCGGCCGACGCCGCGCCGCTCGCATCCTCGCCGCACACGCGCGCGGAGACCGCGCTGCCGCCGGTCGACGCCGATCGCCTGCTGGCAGAGCCCGCGTACGAGGAGGCCATGGCACAGGTCAAGGAGCTGCAGGCCCTGCTGGACGCCAAGAACTTGGAGCTGGCCCGCCTGCGCACCGACCTCGCGGAGACCAAGGCCGAGACGGAGAGAGTACTCAAGGAGGCCCCCACCACGCCGCTCTCCGCGAATAAGGTGCTCGCCGATCCGTTCGGGGGGGTTAGTCTTGCAGGCTTTGCGCTCATGGTATTGCTGTTCGCCGTTATGGTCAACGTTATTCTGCGTATTGTCTAGCGAAAACGCATGCCGAAGCTTTGGCGACGGGTTTGGGGAGCGTTTTGCCGTTTGATCGGGCCTGGTATACTGCCAGACCGCTGGGGTATCGCAAGATGCGTGTCGATCCTCGATCGTTTGAAGCTGGACATCGTCGTGAGAGATTATGATTTTCCGTCTGGTACCAATCTCTCTCTCTCTGCAAGGGCATGCGCACACTCGGATCTCCTCGCAATCATTTAACCTACGATGCAGTCCGAAACAGTCCCTTAATGTGGCACGGCGGTAACATGAAACTTCGTCGAGAAAAAATATCCGCTGGAACGTGCGTGAATGTGACCGCGTAGGGGCTCGTTTTTGAATGCGTTCGCACCACGGACATTTATTACAGACAGGCACATTACGCAAAATCGCCAAACCCGCTCTCCGCAGCTTGACCGCATTCTCAACGAGTCTCTGGATAGTGCAGAAACTGCCTGAACAGAGCCGTCGCGTCGCAAGTACAAGAAGAATTAACTGCAAAAGAACCGAATGCATTTTTCTATAAACAACAAATAATTTACTCCCACAAGCTCCCGATCAAAACAGAGTTATCGATTTCAACAAACCCTGTTCTATCTGAGACCGGGGTTCTCAACGTCATCTTGATCGGCTTTCTTCATTCACCCGCGTTCCTGCTATACGGCCCTTTTTCATGCTTCAACAACGTACAACCCTCGTCCCCCTCGGAAGAAGCAGCGGACGCCAGAGCACCCGGACCTGTGTCGTGAGAATCTTCTGATGATGCCGCCTCCAGTGCTAAACCTGAACCCTTCCGCACTGACACCGGGCCCTGTTTTAACGCTGACGTACCGCCCTCATCCGCCTGAATAACCTTTGTCGACATTTTGTCCCTCTCTGCCCCAAGCCCAGCAATACAACCATCACAAATGCTCTGCAATGCAACCCACTGCGCCTGCACCGCCGTGGTAGTGGTCACTAAACTCGGCGACTTCCACAGCGCCTTGCGCTCCTTCTCTTCCAGTTCAGCACCGCTCTTAACAATGCCCAAAACGGAGCCGACACCCCCGCCCTCCATATGCTCCGTAATCGATTGCCAAAACGTCTCCGCCCTCAACATAACGCCTCCCAACTCGCGCAGCGCCTGGAGCGCGTCCTCCAGCGCCTCGAGCGTATCCTTCGCAACGGTCTCCTCCCCCCTTACCGCTTGGAGCCTCTCTGCAAGTTCCGACGCCTCCTGCGCGCTCTCGAGGCGCTCCTGCCTTGCGTCCTGCTTGTGCTTGAGATGCACGGCGCGCTCCTCGCGCGCCTGGAGCACCTGGGCGTCAACCTGTGACGCGAGGGCGGCGACGCCGCCCATGCCGAGCAGGCCCAAGTTGGCGGTGCGCGTAGACACGACGCTGCCAACGAGGGCGGCAACTTTGGCAGCCTGGATGACGG